GGCAAACCCCGGTTGTTCCCGGGGAAGGTGCGTGCAGAGGCGGCGGCGGCTCCTGCCCCGCTCGGCTCCGGAGCAGAGAGCAACCCGCAAGCTCCGCCGATCGGTCACAGGGGAGAGCTCTCGCTCCGCGCAGCGCGGCTGCGGCTCCCCGCTCGCCGGGCGCCCACCCAGCCCCGCTCCGCAGCCGCGCCTCCGTCCGTCCATCCATCCCTCCATCCATCCAATCCATCTCTCCCTCCCTCCGCTCCGCGGCTTTCCCACGCTTGCCGCGGGGAGCGGCACCCCCGACCCACTGCCTCGCAGGGATCTGTGCCCTCCGCGTGTTCATTTCCTCCACTTTTTTTTTCCTTTTTTTTTTTTTTCTCCTTTTCTTTTCCCGGCCCAAGGTTTTGGAAGGGCTCTGGAAGTTTTCTATCCCGTTGAGAAGACGCGATCCATGTGGGTAACGCGCAAACCCCTCCTGAGCTCGCCCTGCTGCTCCCGACAACCACAGGGATCTGCCGTTCCCCAAAAGCGGCCACAGGCGTTTCCAAGGCACAATTACTCATCACCTATACGGATTAATATATATGCAGAAGCTCAGGGTTGTTGTGGTTGTGATACAAAAAATAAATTTTTGCATACTTATTTTGGCAAAATACTTATGTCCATAGATTCTTTTGGCTTCCTTCCCCCCTTTAGCTGGCTCTAATACATTACCAAAGAGCCATTCCAAAGGCGCTAGAAAGAAGGCAAAGAGTTGTTTTATATCCAAATGCTATATAAGCCTGACAATCATGATTTATTTAATTTCAAACAAGAAGATACCTTTCCACTTTTAATTAGTCACACTAAAAATTTTACAGTCACCTCTCTTCCTACTAAAACAAAATAAAAAGTTAATTAGGATAAACTAAAATAAGTCATTGGAAGCTACCAGTTTAAGGTCACTTAAAATAGTGCAGAGTTATTTATAATGTCAAAATAAAATTTTCCACTGAGTGCCCTAACAAAGTTTCAGGTATCTGGCACAGCTGATTTTCAGTCTCCATGCAAAAATATCTTTCTGCTGAACATTTACACATTTAACAGGAACTTACTACAGTCTGGAACAGATCACGGCTCAGAGTTCTAGAATTTTATTTAAATGGTTATGGACAAATTAATAAAAGTACCAGCAATGTTTATGGACCTACATAAAAGCTGGATGGGATTTTTCAGAATAAGTCATTCATGTTATGATATATACAATCTGGAACGTTGGCTTGGATTTGGCTGGAATGGAGAGCAACCCTGCTGCTCGGCTTTCCTCGGGTTTTATTTCAGAACTTCTCGGAATTTTAGCACTGGTTGCAAAATGGGTCATATTTTAAGATCTTAGAGAATTGTAGGAGGTTGGTGAAAAAATGTGCTTGCGCTGCAAGTTATATCTTAACAAACACCTTCAGATCCACTTTACGGTATCGAATTTTCATTAGTATGGCTGCGCTTGCTGCAATTTATATTGTCTTTTAGCTTTTTCACTTTTAACTGTGTTATGAATACAGCCATAATTAGACTGCTTTTGGAAAAAAAGGTAATGTTTTAAAGAGCACTGAGTTTGTTTACCATCACATTTCTAAAACATAGGCCCAGTATGCTCCTGTTGTAAGTACTGGGTGTTCAAGATGAAAAATAATTATCAGATATGAAAGATTCCAACCTGGATGATATTCCCTAAATAAATAGTTTCGATGCCAGTTTGCTGGGCTGGAATGTGCTGCAAATATGATGAATACAGAATTTATTTTGAGCCTCCCTGTGTATGTAAATAGCCTTTGTGAAACGGGAATAAATGAATGGGTTCACTGGGTTTGTTGTTGTACTTGATATTTTTAGCCAGGGCGACTACAGCAATGTCAGCAATTATTACTATAGTGAAAGAATTGCCAATATTCTTGTTTCCAACATCTACCTTCCCCAAGTTTTTAATTCACTCGTGAAAGTCTGCATCGAGCCAAAATATGTGAACTTAAGTAAACTTAATGCTAGGGCAGGTTTTGCCCGAACTTCCATTCATTTCAGTAGGGGCGAGATAAGCTCCAGTGTCTCTTGGCAGCGCTTTACTTTCGATTTGGTTGGAAGTTGACTGTTTGCCCAGCTATTCTTTGCTTTTTCTTAAGTATGACAAATAGTAACTCCAGATTAGCACGTTATTCGGTCTGCTAAGTAGGCGTGTGGTAATGAGCTCTGTAACTGCAGCATTCTTACTCAGACTATGGACTACTATGGTTTGTTTAACTACTGTATCCCTGCCCCACTGATTTACAGCCCAGATAAAAGAAGATTCTTTGTGTCTTGAAATTAGTTGAAGCATTTAATATTTCAGCATCATGCACTGTTTTTTAGCATTTATAGTCCCCGATACAAACAAAAGCATAAAGATTTGATAGACAGGCTACAAAATGACTGCATTAAAAAAAAATGAACTAGAGAATTTTGCTTTTCCCCCAGCATTTTCCGTAGGAAATGAGGACTGAGA